AGAGAGCAGAGTGATAGAGAGATGAGCCTCCTGTCCTCTACGACTAAGCCCTGGATAGGGTGAAACGCATCAGCGTGGACTAGGGGTGGGACTGAGCCAAGCTGTGCAAGCCCAAAGAAAAGGAGTTTTACAGTGTGACAAGTGGTGTACTGTTGAATCCTTTTTACTGCGACCCTCCCCTGTCCTGCCAGACAAAACTGTCCGGTGTGACAGAGCTGTGCAAATCTTGGATGGGCAGACATGCAAAATCTTTGGCAAGCAAAATCAACCCAAAATGTAATTTTTCATTACATTAAAAAGGAGAACTATGGGGTTAGGGCTTTTCCCCATAGTTCTCCTAAGGGTAGCGGGAGGACATAAACTAGCGTCCTCCCGTCAGGTGTATATGTAGATAGATAGATTAGATAGATAGGTATACTGAGACGCCACAGCCGGAACGGATCCTGACAATTATGTCTGGATCCACCCAGCTGCGTGATTGACAGCTGGATCTGCCTATCTAGAGGCAGAGTCAGCTGTACCCGCCCCATCCGTTCCGCCAGTCACCAATGGAGGATCGGACAGGGGAGGGGGGGAATCCCTGCAGTGAGCCGTGTCAGTCACGGCTCTCTGCACGGAAATATCGAGTAGTGAGCGAGCGACGGTATGTTTTCGCTCACTTCCCGATCTACTGAGCCGACGTGCGACAGTTTCATTGTCAAAGGTCGGCTCACATTATGAGGCTGGGTGAAAACCACTCGCCTCATAATTCTCCTTTAAATACATTTTAATGGCTACTTAATAGAAAACCCTGGGCCAAAGTTTAGGGTGAAGTGGGAAAAGCGTTAGAACCTCTGTCAGTCTGTTACTCCCAACTGTATTTCTATTAGCAACGGCAACAACAGAAGACACTTTTTTAGTAGAATGAATAAAGTTAGTGAGGAACTTTACCCACCAATTAAATGGCCCCCAAAACAGTCACTTGTACAGGATGCCAACTGTCAAGGTTGTCAGTGTGCTCATTTCAGCTTGTAAACGAACATTCAATCTCTCCAATGGCTGGTATCATAGCTGATCACATGTCAAGCACCATGGCAACTGCAAACCCAAGAGGCCAAGATGTGGGGCCTGCAACAACTAATCGATTAAATCAGTTATGAGAATAGTTGGCAACCATTCTCATCATCGATTAGTGGGTGTGAGAGAATTTGTTTTTTTTTAATGCCGCCAGTCGATTAATTGAAAACAATTATAAGGCAACTAATCGATTACAACAATAATTGCTAGCTGCAGCCCTACCAAGATGGCACCTTTCTTGGCTGTAAGGGGTAGAAGGGTGTAGTTTCCCTTTAACACTGCTATTGTGAGCCCATGCTGCAAAGATTTACCCTTCCTTTTCCTTCCAACGGTCAGACAAGGAGGAGAAATCTTTGTATTGGGGAACACACCAAAAGCAAACCCCTCAGCACAGGTTCCAAACAAATGTTTAGCCGGGGTTCCACTCTAATAATATAAGATGCTAAAAGCAATTTAAAGGAGGGAGATCACAGACATCGCAGTGCAGAATTTGAGGACTTTAGTTTTGCTTTAAAGAACTAAACACACCACTTTACTTCATTCCCGCCACTTTTTTTAACTGGTTAGGTAGGTTTGTCCCCCGTTCACATAATCACCTGTCAAGAGAATCCAGCGCTGTCCAGCTGCAATACGATGCTTTTCCATCACAGGCAGGTTGCCACACCGCCATCTTGGTCCACCTCAGTGATTGGGAGTCAGCTGCTTCAAGTTACAGCCAGGATGACAGGTCATGTCCTTCCACTGTATGTCGTGTTTCCCAGCTCTGGCAGCCTCCTTGGATATCCTGTCATATATCCAGCTCCTGATGACAGAGGAGGAAGCTCAGCGAGGCAAAGTTATTCTTTAGACTGGAGGTCCACTTTTAGGACTCATTCACACTGACCCGCAGGCTAAAATGCTGTGTCAGCATATGGACTAGTGTGGTGTGACAGGAAGTGTGTGATGTGCCCTTTCAATGCATCAGTGTTTACTTTTTCTTAACTTTATTTGAAACATACAAAGTGTACACTCAACTCAACACTGTGGTGGTGGGCTACACTAACCTGCAGTGCTACAGTGTGCTGCAAAAAAAAAAAAATAATAACTGCATCATTCTGCGGCGTTGTGGCACGAACGGCGCACATCGAAAGCTACTGAGGGAAATGTATCAAAACTGGAGCAGACAAAATCTGGGAGCAGCTGTGCATGGCAACCAATCAGCTTCTCTGTTTTGTTGCCATGGGCAACTGCTCCAGATTTGATAAATTCCTCCCAATGCATTTTCATGTGCCCCCGGGCATCCCGTTTCAAAAGGACACTATACACCACTATAGGTGTGAATGAGCCCCAACTGATTCCCATAACCGTTACCTTCAAGGTGCGCCTCTGGTGCCAACGATCAGAGTTACTTGTGCGCTAACATAAGCCCTCAAAACGGCTGGAGTCATAGCAACTGCAATCCAAATAGAGGTTACGAGGGCGCCATCTTCAGCTGTAAAGGACTGGAGGGTTTATTACCCTTTAAAGTATTACTAAGGCCTTGTTCACACCAAGCGCGGAGCAGAGCAGTTACAGACCGGAGCAAAACTGCGTCCAATGTATTCCAATGATATTTTTAGCTCCAGTTCACATTGCAGCGTTCAGTTCCAGAGCAGGTAAAAAAACTGCAGCTGGCCCTATTTTACCTGCTCTGGAACGCACGCAAATGCATCAAACGCCTGGAACGCACTGAAAGCCCATTTTAAACTTTTTTTAAATACCAAAAACGGTCCGGAACGCATCAAAAACGCGGCACAACCCACTGCACTGCGTGTGCAGAAACCCGAGCAGATATGCTGTGCATTTGGTGTGAACAAGGCCTAAAGGCTTGGCGGTTTGTTTATATTTTTATATCTTAATACACTTGTTGTATTAAAAAAAAGGTAAAAAAAAACACTCAGAGGGGAATTGATCAAAATTGGAGAGGACAGAATCTGGAGCAGCTGTGCACGGCAACCAATCAGCTTCTCTCTTTAAATTTTCAAGTCTTAACTGGAGAGAGACACTGATTGGTTGCTATGGGCAACTGCTCCAAATTTTGATAAATTCCCCTCCAAGAGTAACGAAACCGGAGCAGACAGAACTTGCAGCAGTTGCCCAAAGTAACCAATCAGCTTCTTTTTTTTTTAGTTTGTCCTGTTAAGCTTTGAAAATGAAAGCTGGATGCCGATTGGTTGGTTGCCATGGACAACTACTGCAGATATTGTCCGCCCAAGTTTTGATAAAGGCAGTGACACACTGCACGCGAAGCCGTGCAGAGCGAAGCAAAGCTATCCGCCACGGAGCTTTGCGTGCAGTGTGTGAGCTGAGTGCAGTCAGATGATTGACAGCACCTTCAGCCAATCGGCTCGTCCGTAACAACCTGCCAGCTGTCGCATCGCGACGCGCTGGTTTATACGCGCAAGCCGATTGGCTGAAGTTGAAATTGTTCATCTCGGCACGCTCAGCTCCGCGAGCTCTCGCAAGCTGAGGTGCCGAGCAGAAAATTACATGACACACTGCTCGCAAAGGCAGCGTGCCCCCGCTCCGCTTCGCGTGCAGTGTCACGGCCTTAACCCTGCCCCCACTTACCTTTGGTTGGTCGTCTCCTCCGCCAGGACCAGGGGGACACTTGGCAATTTCCTGGTCCTGGGGGAGGATACTGAGGGCAGATGAGCCATAGACTCCTCCCACTGTCAGTTAAATTGTGATGGTGGGAGTTAGGGGGGGCGTAGCTTGCTGCATGCTGTGTGTGTCTTTGGAGGTGCAGGAGTGTGCATGGGCGGGGGCGTCTCCTCAGCAGCCAGCTAGCTGATGGAGACACCCGCACATGGGAAAGGATAGGGGGAGGAGTTAACTAGGAAACTAGGAAATAAAGAAGCTGAAAGGTAGTTCAAGTCTGATCTCCATAACCATAAAAAGAAAGTGAAAAGTTTAATACCAAGAAATACAAAGTTTTGGCTTTAGATACAGAATGTAAAACCCCAAAAAAGGCAAAGAAAAGAAAGAAACAGTCCATTATCAAAAATTATTTTATATGCAACATATTCTACAACTGAAATACAAGCAAAAGCATCACCAGACTGCAACAAATACATCAACATGTCATCATAAACGCCAAACAATTTAATGAGAAGAATATACAATTTCCACAACATGATACAATGTATCATAGATTCAAACAAAATGTAGGTGCAATATATATTTATATATCAGAGCTGCACATCACATGGCAATATTTACAAGACATTTTATTTACATGGTGAATCTTTATCGGTACACACAGCCAGTACAATACAATCAGAGCAGAATGCCAAGCTTAGTCATAACAAGCACAATAGTCTCTTCCTTTGCTGTGTCTTGGTCATAGCACAGATGTATGCACTCTACGTAAGCGTCAGCCAACATTACGCAATCGGAGTAGCCCAGACCTACGCTAAATTCGTAAGCGTCTCCGCCCATTCCAGGAGAAGAGCGGTGACGCCCCGCCCACTCCCCCGCGTAAACTGCGTAAACAGTAAATCCAGCCTCTCCTCACGTAAACAGCGTACCTCCCGCCAACATACAAGCAGTCTCCATGCCAGGAACGCCCGCCCCCACTCCCTGCAGTAACTCGGGCGACCTTTCAGTCATTCGCGGTGAGAAAAGCAGGCCGGACGTAGGCCACCCCCTTCCCGGTATCAACATAACCAACAACGTACATAAGTTACGCAAACTACGCAACCGCGGGGCTTTCCCGGCACTGGCTGTATTTCATGCCGCACCACAGACCTTTCACCGGAGCCGCAGGGAAATCATTCCCCAGCACAATGTACGCCGATAGCGTAGAGGGCTCCCCCAGAAATTACGTAACTCCTCCCTCCCCACCAAAACTCCCTTGGTTACGCAATGCGGGCCCGGCGTATCCCGCATCCGTGAATAGCATAGGCTCGCGGCCCGGCGCTCACCTTCGAGGCCTCTTCCGGAGGCGGAGAGACTTAGCGGCAGTGCGAAGGGTTCGCTCGCTGGCACGAACAACCACAGGACCGGGACGACGGAGCGATCACCGCCAGGGATTAATGGAGACGCACCGAAGAGCGCACTCCCTCGGCTCCTTCCTCACACAGCGCCGCCGCTACGCTCCGTGACGTCATACGCATACTCCCACGTCGCTCTGGGGACCCGCCCCTTCTCATTTTTTTTTCTGCGCCTGCTCTGCAGGGTGTAAGCTCCACCCCGTGAGCGGATCGGGCCGTGAGAAAAGGAAAGCCACGCCCCCTTTTGCATCGAGCCTTGCGCACCGTGTGATCTGTGGGCAGGTTTCGGTTTTGTGGCAGCGGCATGTTGAAGCCCATACACCCCAAATGTCCCTTATGTGGGACCAAGCACCTCTTTTCTAATGTGTCCCCCTTTTTGGTCTAATGTATAGACTTCTGTGACTAGTTAAGTACCGAAAGTGTAATAATTCACTAAAGGGCTCTATATATTAATATATTCACTCATCTTTGTGTAAGATTCAATTAGAAACATTGCAGAAAACATTGAAGGCCCAAGAATGCATATGGGCTGCCTGTATCCTAGCAACAGAGGACTCTAGGGCGCTCAAGCTGCCTGAATCCTAGCAACAAAGGCATCTAGGTGTCTCAAGCCGCCTGCATTGTAGCAATGAAGGACTTTAGGTGTCTCGAGCTGCCTGTATCTTAGCAACCAAGGAACCTAGGTGACTCAAGCCAGCTGCATCCTAGCAACCAAGAATTCTAGGCAGCTCGATCCGCCTGCATCCTAGCAACAAAGGACTCTCGGGGGCTCAAGCCGCCTGCATCCTACCAACAAAGGCATCAAATGGCTCAAGCCACCTGTATTGTAGCAATGAAGGACCAAGGACTCTAGGTGACTTAATCCGTCTGCTTCCTAGCAACCATAGATTCTCGGGGGCTCAAGCCACCTGCACCCTAGCTACAAAGGACACTAGGCAGCTCAATCCGCCTGCATCCTAGCCAAGAACTCTCGGGGGCTCGATCCGTCTGCAACCTAGCAACCAAAGATTCTAGGCAGCTTGATCCGTCTGCATCCTAGAAATAAATGAATCTAGCTGGCTCAAGCCACCTGAATCCTAGCAATAAAGCACTCAAGGAGGCTCAATTATTTTCACTCAACCCCAACTAGTGGCCATCTTGTAGGCAACTTGATCCACCTGCATCTTGGCAACCAAGGATTCTAGGCAGCTCGATCCGCCTGAATGCTAGAAACAAAGGTATCTAGGTGGCTGAAGCCGCCTGCATTGTACCAATAATGAACTCTAGGTGTCTCAAGCTGCCTGTATCTTAGCAACCAAGGGCTCTCGGGGGCTTAAGCCACCTGCATCCTAGCAACAAAGGATGCTAGGCAGCTTGATGCGCCTGCATCCTAGCAACCAAGGATTCTAGGCAGCTCGAACTGCCTGCATCCTAGCAACCAACGACTCTCGGGGGCTCAAGCCACCTGCATCCTAACAACAAAGGACGCTAGGCAGCTCAATCCCCCTGCATCCTAGCCAAGGACTCTTGGGGGCTCGATCCGCCTGCATCCTAGCAACCACCTGAATCCTAGCAATAAAGGACTCTAGGCGGCTTAATTATTTTCTATGCTTCTTACCACCAGCTAGTGGCCATAATCTAGGCAGCTTGATCCACCTGAATGCTAGAAACAAAGGACTCTAGGCAGCTCGAGCCGTCTGTGTTGGTAGCAGTTCTCGGCTGCTAGGATGCATGTAGATTGAGCTACTAAGAGTTCTTTGGTGCTAGGATGCAGGCATTCACGCCATACGCATGTAAAGGTTAGCACAAACATTTACAGCATAAAATCCAGTCTATACACAGGGCCATGCAGATTTTTCTTTTTTGACTTTCACTGATATGAACTCCGTGCAAGTTTACTAATCTTTACGCACTGTGTGCATGGGGCATTTTGACTGGCACTGCAATGCATTCAACATGCATTATGTACATTGGTACTCATAAATAGACCCCTGGGGTTGGATTCACACCTATGCAAAAACCCCTTCCTGACCGATGGCGGCACTATACCGTCATGATCGTTCAGTTAATTAACGACAGGTGACGGGATAATCTCGTTGTGCGGTACAATGCGCGCTGGTCCGCAGAGGGACCAGCGCTTATTGAGTTACTGCTGTTGCTAGGTCCCTCGGGGTCAGAGGCAGACCTTCAACAGCAGATTAGGTGGTCCCAGCACTATGATCACTGCTCGCTGTGATCACAGAGCCATGACAGGCTAGGTTCAAACCTAGGCGACTCCTGACCACGTGGCAATCCATGCGTTTTGTGCATGATTGCTGCCCAGTAAGGAGTCACAAAGGTGTGAACCGATCGCGCTGTTGGTGCCATTATTTTCTAATGGCACCGCGGATCGTGCGTCATGTGTCGCAAAAAAAGGTACTTTTACCTTTTTTAGCGATTGCCGCGCTGATGTCACCCCATTGAAATCAATGGGGCTGCGCGAAAACCGCTGTGTGCACTAGCACACGATCACGCGGCCCAGGTGTTGTGCAGTGCAGGTGTGAACCTAGCCTCAGCAGCTCAATGTGTTGGGCACCTGTGAGCCGGCTGTGTGATACAAAGTATCTCTGAGGAGAATACAGTATTCTCCTCAGACATACTAAGTATCAAAGCCCCTGTAAAAAAAAAAAAACCTTACTGCCCCCTAGTTTTAAGAAAAATAATCAAATTTAAAAATAAAGTTTTTAAAAAGTTGAAAAAAATTAAAAGAAAGGAGAAAAGTTGAAAAAAAAAAGTAAAAAATAATACATTTCATAAACAAATAACTATAATTTTACCACTTTAAAGATCGCTGGTTCGACCTCATCTGGAGTATGCGGTCCAGTTTTGGTCACCAATGCACAGAAAGGATTTCCTGAGCTGGAAAGAGTCCAGAGAAGGGCAACCAAACTCATTAAGGGGATGTCGCACCAAAGCTTTGAAACAAGGTTACTCAATTTAAATTTAATTTAAATTGTCACTGCTCCACGCCCCATGCTCTGTCAATCGGGCCGGCAAGCACTGTGGCTGGTGTGAACTAGCCCTAAACCTTTTTGCTGCCAGCGCCCTATCCATTACGTTGCTGGCGGCGGTCCCCTGTATATAGAGCCACCGGGACTCTGGTTGGTTGTGTAAAGATGACTGTTGGCTTTACACTGGAAGCAATTCTGCTGGCTAACCAGATCGCTTCCATGGGCCAGTGAACAATGCCCCCCCCCCACCCTCTTCTTGCTTCCTGAGGTCCACTGTCTCTCCTGAGGGCCCGGGACCAGCATCACAGGTGTTGACGTGGAGAGAGACCAGCGAACAACCATTCTCTGATCTCCGCGCTGAATAAACGTGGAAGCGACACTGATTGTATCACTTCCGGTTCCTCTGTTGTCATTCCTGGCTAGAGAAGCCGGTGAAGAAGCTATTTAAGCTGAGCCCAATATGCGCTTGAATAGCTTCTTTGAAGTGAAAAAGTGACACTAGGGGTCTAATAGACCCCTAATGTCACCCTGAGAAAGCCTGTCAATGTGCTATCACATAGTTAGGCTTGTGACCTCTCCTTATGTGAGAGTAATGAAGTTGAATGATTTAAAAATGAAAGTTCTAAATGTAAAATTTACAAATAAACCCCCAAAATTAAAACCCACGCCCCCCCACAAGCGAGAAGTCAAACAC